ACCTGAGAATATTTGTCTCAGGAGCCCTCAGCCAACAGAAGTGCACCTGTAGCACCAGAGCCCCAGGGTCTCCACGTCTCGGCTGAAGATAATCTGAAAGGTCCAGCCAATTCCTTGACTGTAACGGTGGCTCCGGACGAATGGCAGCTGTGCTGGACTTAGAGAAGGGTAGAATTTCTCAAGGAAAGATAGCTGGATTGGAAAGGACCCTATTTTATGTCCCGGGGCCTTGCTTCAACGATCGTGTTTCTCTGTTTCAAACTGAGCCCTTTATTAAAATAAGTAGGATCATATTTATCCACTCAATGGAAGCTGGTGCCTCTCAGAAATTCAAAGTCCCAAAATTAAACCTATGTAACCCGCGTGCTGTTTGGACGCAGATAATTGTCCTAGTCAGATTTATTAGCTCTGTCACAGAGCTTTACCTATTCCCGGTACCCTCAGTCCAAAAGCTTGAGTGAGCGGCGTCAATCTATTCCACGTTTGAGCCATCGGGTGTGTTTTCTGGCCAGGGTGGGGCAACCAACGAGACAGGCTAGTGGTGTGATTTGAAATTGAGTGTTGTGGACCATCTGGAACTGTGTGTTTTCAAATCTGTTTCCTTCAATTACATCTGCCTCCTTCTTCCTTGGTTAATAAAATCAGAGCTTTGGGGCTGATTATTTTTGAGTCTCTCTGGGTCCTTTGTGGAATTGGGAAGTACATCGTCAGCTTATACACAAGGTGGCACCCTGTGATTCCAACCAGGGCTGAGAGAAGCCGTGCTGCTGAGAGGCTGAGCCACGGCCAGTTTTTGTTCAGCATTTGGTTTTCTCACTGTTGCAGATATAAAGGTGGAAGTAGTTTTCGGCATGCCACCTTTGAGGGTGGTCTTCGTCCCTAGGTCTCAAAGATCCAGAATTGCCTCGGTCCAGGGCACTGGAACCGGGAGGCTGATTCTGGTTAATTGTATTGAATGCAGACCCTACATTCAGATTACAAGATGAAAACAATGAAGCTTTATTGGTACCGGGTTCGTTCCTGAAAACACTGGGGGAGAGGTGGGGATGCAGTTCACATACCAACCCAATTAACACTCAATTGGGCTTGCTGAAATAGAGAGCCAATTAGAAAGAACGTGACATTTACAAAACTCTGAAATGGTTGAATAGCAACTGTGTTGACTAGCTCTAAGGTTCTTTCAAAAAGTAATTTGTTCATTATTTGGAAGCTGCCAGTCCTAGTGGTAGTATGTATGGGGAAGTGGCAACTGGAATATAAACTCAATTCTTAATGTTGTTTGACTTTTATTCTAATTTAAACTATATGTAGACAGTGACTTTATTTTTTATATGACTGTAAATCTATTTCTTTTTTTCTGATTTTATTTTTGATATGGCTGTAAAAACTATTTTAGCCAAGCAAATGTCATAAATACACATCCAAAAATTTCTAATTTTTGGATGTGTATTTATGACATTTGCTTGGCTAAATGCATGCCTTTTTTCTTTTTTCTTTTCTTTTTTTTTTTTTTTAATGGGTCCAGAACATATTTGCAGTGGACTGGCTTCAGAATAACTGTACTTAGTGCATTGTACATGGAAATTAAAATAGGCTCCCAGGCTGCACAATCATTTGAAACAGGTTTTGATAAAGACATTTTTATAACAGGTTCTACTTCAAAAGTTGAAAAGCTATTTTCTGCTCTTAGTCCTAGCAAGTATATGGATATTCAGCAAATAGATTAGAAGTAAACTTTGTGAAAAATAATATTTGTATACAAATAAAAGCTACTTTCCAAATGTGGAAAGGGGCCTTCTGGTTCGGCTACTGAATTGGAAGCCAAGAAAACACAGGCTGTGTCTCACTTGAAAAGCATGCTGCGTTACCTGCCTCCAACTGTTTTATTCCGGCTCTATAATCATTGCCTACAGGGCAGGGGGAAAAGGTTACATGCTCAGAGAAAAGGACAACAAAACAACAACTACCGTAGCAAAAAAAACCTGTTTATGTAATAAAATTTCAGATTTTAAGAAGTTTTTTTTTTAATTGCTTTAATTGGTTCTAAAACTCCTATGCTCAAGGTAGGAAGGTGGAGAGCAGGGCGGGCCATAAGAACAAATACTGGCAGCGATGGTGACGGGCCACTGAGGTCTGATGAGCTCTAAGCTGGAATGAAGTGGTGCATCAGAGTCTCTTGAGGGGATTTATCAGTCAACAGATATACATGTTCCGTGTCTGTTCCGTGTAAGGCACAGAACTGGGGATACAAGATTAACAGAGCAGGTGTGGTTCCTGCCCTCACTGAGGGCATTGCATCTTTAGGCTCTGGGTCATGCACTCCCTTAGCCACTGGACTGCAAGGTGGCACTACAGAGGAAACGGGAGTTTTGGGGGCCAGGGCTAGACCTGGTTTTGAACCCACTTCTGTGAATTTAGTCGTGTTGAAATGTGGCAAATTATCTGTCTGAGCTTCATTTTCCTCATTAGTCAAGTTATAATAGTTCTCCATAGGGTTGTAATGAGAATGAAGAGGAATTTTATTAATATGTATATGTTACAACTGCAGTGCCTGATATATTACAAATACTCAATATTTCCTTTCTTGAGGGAAAGTAACAGTAAATATAGGACATAGAGAAAAGCTACCCTTTCTGAACCCGAGAAGTGCTGGGCACCCAGATGGGAGCTCTGCATGACTCATTTCTTCAGCCACCTTGAGGCCTGAACAGGGCTGACCCCTCGCAGCAACATCTTGTCCTTCCTCGCAGAGAACTGGAACTGCTCCAGAGGGTAGCACTCAGAGCCGGACGTGCCCATCAGCCTGAGGAAGGTGTTGCTTACAAGAAGTGAGTCACCGCATCTCCATTGTTTCCAAAAACAAAGTGGATGGAAAACACTCAATCCAGCTAAACAACGGCTCCAAGTCTTGCTGCACCAAGTGGGTTAGACTATGTAGACAGACACTGCCAGGGGTCCATATGCACCATTTTGCCTTCAAGGAGGGAGATGGAGAGAAAAGGCAGGAGGGAAAAAAGGGAGAAAAGTGGATGAGAAGGAGGCGTTAATGGAGGAAGTGGGTTTTTTTTGTTTTTTATAGAAATGACTGTAGGAATCAACTGTTCACACGACTGGACTTCAGTACACCATCTCCTTTTCCCTGAATGAGGCAGGGTGTTTATCAGCTATTAGAATATGGTAAAATGTGTTACACGCTTTCTAGGGGTTTTGTAAGAAAACTTGATGCTTAAAGACTAAGAAACTTGGCAAAACAAGGCTGGTGTCAACAGTAGCTGGTATAGTCGAGCCAACTTGATTTCCCTTCCTCTTCCGAACTTTCTCTAATCAGTTCAGGCTAACGCAATGCCTCCTCTCTCTGAACTCTCAGGCAATCATTGCCGGTACAGCTCATTCGGTAATGAATCATGTCCTCCTGCCTTGCATTAACTCCTGCATAGTTTTCTCCACGTATTCACACTGTGGTGGTTGTCTTGTGGTTCATTTGTTGCTTTGCTGCCTTTCATGTTTCCAGTTGCCCGGTTCTTCCACCCTGGACGGCTCCTACTGTTAATCCATCTCCCCAGCGACCTGTCATCCCACCACGCGGGGCAGGAACTTTTATCTCAAACTTCGTTTGGCCTTTCACTCGCAGCTAATACTGTCCCCAAAGCTGCCACTTGGGAAATCGTGCCGCCTTCATTAAACTTGATCTTTATAATTCTAAAGGACTCTAACATTTTTGAAATCAGAGGAATATATCTATGCGCCCACTACATAACCCTATAAACAGTGTGGGTGACGAGCTCCAGTGCACTTGTTGCATCTGGCAGCCGCAAGCACGAACCCTCGCAGCTGCCACTCCATCCTCCCCTGACCTCTTAGAGGGCTTTCGGTCCGGTCCGCACTCGAGAAGGGGCTGCGGGGATGGAGGCCGGGGCTGCGGGGATGGAAGCCGGGGCTGCGGGGATAGAAGCCGGGGCTGCGGGAGCAGCGTCTGAGCGGCGGCGGCGGGCTGGCAGCTCTGCGCCCCGCAGGCAGGGCAGCCGGGGGAGGACCTTTCGCTCCTCCCGGGGACCGGCGACCTGGAGGCTGCAAATGAGCCGGCGCTCGGGGCGCCTTCAGACCGCGCTCCAGGATTCCATGAGCAGGTCTATGCGGACACAGCCTGCAGGAAGAGCGCGATACATTGTAGCACGTCCCAACAGTGGTTACATAAGTATGGAAGCAAGTGTGCAAGCGCCGGCGGGGCGGCGGGGTGACAGCCCCGGCTGTCACCTTCCTTTCCCGCTCGCAGACCCGGGCGCGCTCGCTCCTTTCCGCGCGCTCGGCGGCGCTCTGCCCGGCGCCTTCCCCCGGGCGCCCGGCGAGCGGGAGCGGCGGCCGCGGAGGCAGAGGCAGCAGAGGCGGAGGCAGAGGCGCACCCGCTCCGTCCCGGGCGCGGGGACCCGGCGCACCTGGCACCTGCCGCCGGCGGGAGCGCGGGCCGCCGCCGCCGCCGCCGAGGGTCGCCCGGCGCGCGGAGGGCCGCCGCCCCGCTCCCCCGACGCCCGCCCGAGGCGGAGCACGCTCCCGCGGGCCGGCCGCGCCGCGGAGCGAGTGGGTGGGCAGGCGGGCGAGGGAGGGAGGGAGGGAGGGAGGGGAAAGCAGAGGCAGGAGGGAGGGAGGGCGGACGGGGCGCGTCCCCGCGGCGGGGGCGCGCTCTCGCGCGGGCTGCCGGGATCGCTCGCCGCCTCTGTGGTAATGTCCGCCATGTTGGCCATGGCGCAGGGAGCGGACCGGGCGGGCGAGCGGCGGATCTAGTGTGTGGAAGCGGCCGCGGGCGGCGGGGGGCTGTTTTCGGGCGGGTGGGCGCCCATGCTGTGGCCGGGGGCCGTGCGGCGGAGGAGGAGGAGGAGCGGGCCGGCCGCGCTGCACTGAGGAAGGCGGTGGAGGAGGCGGCGGGAGTCCTCCCCCCCTCCCCGCCCGCCCCGCCGCCGCCGCCGCCGCCGCCGCCCGGGCTGTTCCTGTGAGGCGGGGAGACAATGAGTAAACTCTCCTTCCGAGCGCGGGCGCTGGACGCCGCCAAACCGCTGCCCATCTACCGCGGCAAGGACATGCCTGATCTCAACGACTGCGTCTCCATCAACCGGGCCGTGCCCCAGATGCCCACCGGGATGGAGAAGGAGGAGGAATCGGTAGGGACTCAAGTGTTTATTACCCCCCCCTTCCCTCCTCCCCCCTCCCCTTTGTCAGTCGGGCCTCGCCATTCACAGCGCGCTTTACGCTCGCTGGAGGGCGCCGCTGCCGCTCCAGCGCAGGAGGCCGTACGCCGGAGGAGTAGCGTAAGCCCTCTCGGCCGGCGCGGCGCCCGCCCGCGGCCGCCATGTTGTTGCGTCCCAGTGTTGTGATTAGCTCGCCGCGCCTCTTACGCTGCCGTAAGGGGGCCTCGGCGTAAGCGGCGGCCGGGAATGGCGCAGGGGATGTTCTGGCCGCACTTGGCGTAGGGCCTCTGTTTACCTTTTTTTTTTTTTTTTTTTCTCCTCTCTCCCCCCCCCTTCCTCCCTACCGGCGACACTGGGGTTAATTAACTCATGGGAGAGAGGGATCGTTTGGCCGGGAAAGCGTTGGTTTTCACTTTTTTAGGGTTTTAGATTTTTTTTTTTTTTTTTTTTTTTGCATTGGGTTTATCTTGGAAATGACTTAGGAGAGGAAAGCGCTTTCAAAAACAAACAGCTTCCTCCCGGCAAGGTGATCCTGGTTCCTTTCCCCGGCCCGTTTGGGGGTGCAGCGGGGCGAGGCGGCGGAGGCCGCGACGGGCTGCCCGGCGGCGGCTGCAGCGTTAGAGGCGGGGACCTGCTCGCTCCGCCGGCCGCGCTCGGACGGCGCCCGCTCGGCGCGCGGCCTCGGGAGGAACCGGGGAGGGAGGGAGGGAGGAAGGGAGGGGGGTGCAGCCGCCAGCCGCCGGCTGTGTGTGCCGGCCCGGGGCCGCCTCCCCGAGCACTGTCATCGGAGGGCTGGGGAGTCTTGTAGGGAGTTGACCTCGTCCTAGTGCATCTCATCTGACAGTTGCATTTTTTTGGTAATGCAGCGCATTTAGGCTGAAATGCTGTTTTGTTTGTTTGTTTTTTTCTCCCGATGGGTTTTACGTTTTGCATACGGTTGAATTTCCTCCGGTTTGACAGTGTTGATGACACCGGAGGAGCGGTGTTCCTTGCACGCGAAGTTTATAGTAACTGCACCCTCAAGGATTTCTTCAATGAACCTGCAGTCCCGCCTTATTGTCAACCCCGGGTGTTCGTGGATTGGCTCTCCTGCTTCTGGGACTGTCAGAGGAAGGCGCGAGGTCTCTGTGATTGGCTTTTTCCTTTGACTTTCAGTATTGCAGGAAATGCTTTTAAAAGCCTTTGATTGGTTGCTCGGTTCTGACCTCATTATATTGCCCTGCCATTACTTTTTTTTTTTTTTTTTTTTTTTTTTTTTTTTTTTACCGCGATTTAATCTGTGGTGGTCGATTACTTAAAATTTTTACTATTTTCAGTAGAAAATGAATACGGCCGCTCTATCAGGACGAACATTCAACTTCTCTTAAGAAGATAAAAGCCCAGCATTTATGCTGAAAGTTTAGAATTAAGTCTATTGTGAAAAGTCTTTTGGTTGTTTGAATAAAACTTCTTAGCTCTTTGTTCCACGGGAAAGATAATTAAAATAAGAAATATGCACCGGAATTAATTGAATTGAACTTTAAATAACACAACTTTTGGATTCCACAAATTTAAGTTTCTGTTAGTTATTTTGTGGGTTTTGACCCCAAAAGAAAGGTGGCTTCTGAGCCTTAAAGTACAGTTGTGAGAACGTGAGACAGTTTGTTCTTGTATTATTTATTATTGTATTTTTTTCCATACTAACAACTGTAAACCTTTGCCCCACCCTGTATTGTATGTAACTACTTGGATCCTATTATTTTGGTTTGGAAAAAACTTGAATAAAAAACTAGAATGAATAATTAGCCTGTGGAAGATATGTTACTGTTTGTTAACAGTGATCAGCATTATATTTAGTTACTGCTTTAGGTCCTTAGTTTGCCACATGTGCCTTGGTATTTTGTCTGAAAATAGGGGGAAAAATTTGTCAGTTATTTATTTTAATGATATATAAAAAATAAGTGCTTAATTAACCCTAGCACAATTTTATTTATTAATGTTAACATTGGATTATTTTTAGAAGCCTGCGTCATCTACCCAATTTTAGGCAAGAAGAAATCCAAATTCTAATAGAACTAGAGTTTAACTCAGGACTTCTTGTCCCTGTTCTGTCCTTTCTGCCTCTTTAATGTTACAAGTGGAGGTTCTTAAAATTAAAACAAAACTAAACAAATCCTCACAGTTAAGATTTATACAGTATATACATTCTGAAGTCTTTTGCTTCCCAGAATGTTTAAATGGGATATTAGTTTTTGCCTTTTCTTTTAAAAATTAACATAAGTCGGAAGACTTGCGTTTTCATGAATGATAGCCAGTTGTCATCTTTCTGTAACTTGGTTTCTATAGTGCTCCTCATTGCTTGGTTTAGGTCAAATAGTGTAAACTTACGTCTATTTAGAATCTACACAACCTGAAAGATCAGGTACTCAGTGGTTCTTCCACCTCCCCATGAGTTTGTATAGTGGAGGTTGATGTTTTTAACGTATCTATCATTTTTTGAATACTTCTTATTCACCAGGTACTGTACCAAGAACTTTGCCTTATTATTTTACTTAGTCCTTTTTACAACCAATTTGCATAGGTATAATATAAATACAATAAAATGTACCCATTTAAAGCATAAAGTTTAATGAATTATGACAAATGTGTATTCTGATGGAAACATCACAATCAAGATATAAAAATATTTTAAATACCCCAAAAGTTCCCTTATACTTCTTTGCAAGTTAGTCCCTCTCCACCATAATTCTGAGCAACCACTGATTTGCTTTCTCTCATTATAGAATAGTTCTGTCTTTTATAGAATTTCATATAAATGGAACCATACCTACTTTACTGTGTCTGGCTTCTTTTGCTCAGCATAATGCATTAAGGATTCATCCTTGTTGCATATAATAGGCCATTCCTTTTTATTACTGAATTTACATACTGTAATACAGGTGTGGGCAAAAGTAGGTTTACTGTTGTAATACAAATGACTAGTTAATAAACAATAACATACGAATAAATTGTTTTGCACAGTCACAACTGTAAACCTATTATACTTTTTGCCCACCCCTGTTTCATTTCCTTCCTCCCATCCTCCCTTCCCCCTTCCTCATTTTCTCCCTCCCTTTCTTCTTTCCTTCCTTCCTTGATCCTTTCCTCCTTTACTCTTTTCCTCCCTTCCTCCCTCCCTCCCTCCCTTCCATCCATCCATCCATCCATCCATCCATCCATCCATCCATCCATCCGTTGGATTTTCAGTTGTTTTTAGTTTTTATTTAATCCTGTAACAGCCCTTTGAAGTTTCATCTGTTTTATAGATGAAGAAATTGAAGGGTCTAACAGCTAGGAACTGGCTGGGGTAGAATTCAGATCCTTGCCTTTAATGTCACAACCACTGTGCTTCATATTGACTTCTTACAGAACCCCAAATTATCTTACACACTATTACTAAGTTAATTTTAGTTTTTGTAAAGAAAGTACTTTTTATAATTTTGGGAACTGTAAGTTATATCGATTTGATTAAAATATTAAATTGATTAAGTATAATTTTTCATCACTGACTTTTGCTCTTGGCTTTTCAAATTTTCTCTTTTTTTTCTTGTAAGACTGTTAACTTTGCTTTTCCCTAATGTTGGTGCCATTATGTTTATCTGAGTGTTTGTTATCCTAACCATATAATAAACTTGTAGGAAACTATCCTATTTTATTACTTATATTTTCTTCTAGTAGAATGTAATCTCTATAAGGGCAGGGATCTTTGCATGTTTTGTTCCTTAATATATTTCAGTTCCTGGAACTGTGACTACCATATAACTTAAGCTTGTTATATGTTTGCTGAGTATTGAATGAACTGTCTCATTTTCTATACCAAGAGTTAGGTTTTTATAAAACACTGTGTGTGTTTGTGTGTGTGTGTGTGTGTGTGTGTGTGTGTGTGTGTTTTATTAAACTCATTGTGTGTAATTCATTAGCAAAATTTGGTAAGTTATTTCCCAGGGATTCCTTTTGGTTTCTTGGTGTACTGTGTACACTTACATACTCATTTGTTTTCCCTTTTGAGTCAGGCTTCTTTAAATATAGAATTTTTTGTAGATAGATATAGTTGCAATATTAGTCTTTATCTGTGTTAGTAACCCCTCTCATAGGTGTATATAGATTTGTGTAAGATTTCTTTATATTGGAATGAACCAAAATTTACATGAAGCATGTGTTTATGTTTATTTTCAAAGAAAAAGATCATGACTGAGTTAAATTGTATTTCTCCCCTATATATTAGTTATCTAATTTTTGTCATCTTAACATGTGATATTTTGAATGGTGGAGTAGAAATATATTCAATCTTTTTACCATTTCAAAGTTATTTTTGGTACTAACATATTTTATGTTTCATAATAGAGGGGTTCCAAAGAGAGAATAAAATGAAGTTTTGTAAGCTGACATTGTGAAAACATTAAGCTTTTTTTGTTTGGCTTGTGTTGTGTCCGCCCCCCCCCCCCCCCCCCAACAAAAGCAAATAACAGCCAGGTATCATCTAGGTTACAGGTGTTACCTAAATAAGAGATTGGGAAACTATTTCAAGGGTTCTGTATATCTATGTGTGTAAGGCTGTGTGCTCAAGTGCTGTTACGATTAAAAGAAGAATATTGATACTGATCTTGACTTAAGGGAACTTAAATGAATCATTGAGATAAAAAATGTATTTGGAAAGTTAGCAGAAACTACCAGTTTAAGTCAGCCTGACAGACATTAAAAGAGCATTAGAAAAAGTTAATTGTTGGTGCTGTAAAGAGGAGTAAGAGAAAACTGTTACTGGAATATATAGAGATGGCTCCTTAGAGGGGGATTTAACAATTTGGACTTTTAGGTTTGTTTGTATGGGTATGTTGAAGCAAATATTTAGTGCAGAAACACTTAAAACTAGTTCTATGGATGTTACACAGTCTAATGGAAGATCCTTAGATGTCATATATATTTTTTATCCTCATCCAACCAAGCCACCTGACTAT